TTGGTATTGTAGCCTTATTATGTTGTAAATAATGGAGTTTTGCGTATGCCATAAATCCTTAAGATGGTCTTTAGCCATCTGTTTGCTCATTACTCAATAAAATTATATATCGAGGGTCTAAATATATAGAAGCGTATAAAACACTATTTTGCAAATTATTTTGCTCTCTAATTTTCATCTTTTCTATATTTCTTATAAAAAAGGACTTGTAAATCTTTCTAAATCTAATCATCTAATCCATATGACAAATCCGATAAACATAATTGTTCTGATTGTAATCTAAAAGTTGTTATTTTTAAAGAAACTAATGCTAGTAAGGTACTTTATTTGGCACCAATATTTTTCCGACATAACGACTTCACATGCTCCTGTAAAAAAATCAGTACGAAATCTTACAAACTTAATAATCGTTCTAGCATCATACAAATTGAGGACCAACGTGTACAATCTAATATTGCCTTTGACCTTTTCATTGGTTTTAATATTATTGCAATGGTTGGAGTTCTTAAATATTTTGCATCCCTTGCTTTATAATTTCAAAGTGAATATTTTTCAGGCAATCATTAATAGCCAATTGTAGAGTATGGACTGCACATCTGAAATATATATTTGTGGAGAAATCTTATATTATTTCCTGTAAATTAATTTCATCTATGTCATAATTATCATCGTCTATATTATTTTTCTCTTCCAGTGAATTCATTTAATTATTTAATTGATTTTGTAAGATTAGCAGCAATATCCGTAGTGATTATATAAACATTTCTTATAGGAATATGAAATGTATTTAATGTTTATAATATTCTTTTTATATATTCAGAAGTTGCTAACTCTTTAATCTCGTTCATAGCCAAATTTCTCAATATTGATCTCCTTTTATATACTGTACATTTACTCCTAGAATATTTCTCCCTAATCTTTTGGCGGAATCAATTTTTATGAAATTAATTAATTATTTGTTTCTTTTATTATTTTTGCTTGTATTTTTTTTCTCGATTCATTAACTACTAGGTTTTTAATTTTAAAACGGTTAATGGATATACCAATTTCCTTACTAATAGGATCGATAATTTTTTTTAAACTAGAATTCTCAATAATATTGAAAGGTCTTCCATTTATCGTAACTAACTCAACGAAAGCTTCATCCTCAACCATTACAATATGAATGCTTTTTTTAAAGCAAAATTTTTCAATATTATTTTCATTCTTCTTTACAATACTGACAGTATACTTTGTAACAGTGTCTTCTTCCAAAAATTTGGTTATTTCTATTTAGGTATTCCATGTTTTTCCAGGTTAGTATTGTGTCAACCTTTTATTATTATTTGGCAGGTTTTGCACTCAGAATCCCCTTTAATAACAATAATTGATAAATATAATTTTATCGCTTGAAAATAATAATTGTCGCATTTTACAAAACCAACTCGTTATTAAAAAATTCTTTCTATTTAAATTTATTACTATATATTAATCGACATTATTCAATATTTTACAATTAATTTGTTTATTAATTTGATATCATTTAAATAAAATGTTTTTTTATTTATAAATCTTCATTTTTATATAGTAGATGTGTTAATATATAGTAGAGATGGGCATAATTACTTAAAAAATGTAATGATTTCCTAATTACAATTACTTATAAAATTTTAATTATAATTACCTATTTATTCTAAAAACTACAATTAATATAATTAGAGGTAATCGGATTTAATAAATACTTTGTTTAACAGTTTGTTACAAGCTAAATAGTTTTTCTACAGGTGCTAATGAAGACAACTTTGTTTTGTACTCATTAATTGTTGGAAAACTTTCTAGCATACTAATTAATCCTATCTTTTTCACATTTTAGATGTAAGCATCTTAAGTTTATAAATTATTAATTATATTTGTGGTGGAAGTAAGAGTCAAAGTTGAAAAAAATTATCAGGATAAAATTGAACAATCTATTGGAAATTATACCTAGCTAGCAATGTTTATTGGAATAGTTTCAGATATTTTAAATCATTTTGTTTAGATATTAATTTACATAACTTATATAGGGAAATTTCTATTAAAACATATCTCATCTTTAAAAACACGCATAGATATTAGACTCTTAATAACAAAATTCAAAATCAATAGTCGCCTTATAGGATTCTTGGATGTCTTTGATTTAAATAATCCTTGTAGAATCTGATTATTTTATTTGTTTTTGATGATTCAGTGTTTTTTTTTAAAAAATTTATTATATTTTTTTGCCAAAGAAGGAAATTTATTTAAAATTTAACAACTAGGAATCAGAGTTGTTAAAGTAGCGAGCTACTTATAGCGCGCTAACTTTTTTGGTAGCTATAGCTAATAGCGGCTACTTTTTTTGTAATTTAATTTTTTAAGGCGCTACATTTTTTGCTTAGCTACTTTTAAAAAATATAATGAAGATACATGAAAATTTAAATATAATACCATAATTAATTATAATTTTTATGATTTATTATTTAATTTTGAAATTGAAATATATTTTCAATTCTTAATTTATATTTTCAAATGTATTATAAACCTAAATCACGTGTTAATAATTTAAAATGTCATCGCCTATGGATATCCAAATTGTTGAAAGTGATTCAGACAACGATATTAATGAAATGGAAGATACCAGGGAAGAAAATGTTCTTAATAGCTATAATTTCCAATTCCCTAGATTTGAAAACTTTTAAAAATAATTATATAATCCAAAACTGGCTTCAAATTTATTTGTTTAAAATGTAAAAAAAAATATTTCCTCAAATCAATCCAGTTATAACCTCAAAAAACACCAAAAGGTAAATTGTCATTTTTACATTCTAATATTATTTATTTTATAAGACTGTTCATGCCAGTAGCTTTAAGGAAATGGAGAAACATTTAAATAATTTTGGTATAGGCGACTCTACATCCAAAAAGACTAATTGAATTCAAACCAAATTAATTAATAATCCAAATGTCAATATTTCTCAGAAATTGGCTGATAAAGTTATTATTGATTTTATAATTGATACAGTTCAGCCAATGTCCTTGGTTGATAATCCATCATTTACCATGATGATTAAAACATCCCCTGGTACAACAATTTTATGTCACCAGACACTAATGAATAAAATAGCAGATAACTTTAAAGTGATGAAAGATGCTCTAATAGTAGAGTTATCAGAGATATCATATATATGTACCACGGCAGATAGTTGGACACATAACACTAGGTAAAAACTTATAAAATGCAACAAATTACCATAAATATTTATTTTTATTACATAAATTTTTTTATAATCAAAACTAACTATATTTTAATATTTATAAATGTTAATTTTTATATATTTACTAGTGATCTGCTTCGTGCCTAATTTTTCAAGCCCGGCCCAGCCCGAATTTATTTAAATGTAGAAATTAATCTTTATAATTACTCAAGTTTAGTTTCAATAAATAAAATCAAATATTTTTATTTTACATAAAAAATTCAATATAAAATTGATAAATTTAGATATATTTAAAAAAAAATTCCAAGGTCCGACCCGAATCGGCCCGAATTTTTTTAAAAATATTAGGCCCGTTCCGGCCCGAACCCGATTATTTTAAATAGAATTAGGCCCGAAGCCCGTTCGGGCCGGGTACGGGCCGGGCCTCACTTTGCAGATCTCTAATACAATAACATTATAAGCAAAAAATAAAACAAATTTGTTTCTAAATTTTTTTATAAAAAGTAGCTAAAGCTACTTTTAAAAAATAATAGCTAATAGCGAGCTACTTTTTTTGACAAATAGCGATAGCGGTAGCGCTCTACTTTTAAAAGTAGCGATTAACAACACTGCTAGGAATAAATAATTTATATTTTATACACCTTAATATGTTCTGTTACTGGCAGTGATTTGATGGTATTTTTACAATCAGCTCTTGTGGTTTGATATTTTTCAGAAAAAATTTGGAATGAATATTGGCGATTTTGATTTAATTAAATAAATGTGGGATTGGTTTAGAAGAGCAATTAGCGGAGTTATTATTAGAGTTCTACAGGAATAATTATAAAATATAAATGATGCGTAACAACTATTAATCGTTTAAAATTAAAAAAATATTTGAATGAATGATTGTATTAATTAATCGCTTTTCATGTATAATACATATTAAATTTAAGAAAATGAATTGCAATTATAACTTCTAATGACTAATTACATTCTTGAAAAATGTAATTAATTATGATTACTAATTCATTTTTTAAAGTGAATTAATTATAATTACAGTTACAAATTACAAAATTGTAATTGCTCAACCTTGATATACATAAAAAAGAATCGGTCAAGATACATGCCTGGATCCGGAATCTGGTACATTTCTAGACTATCATTAATTTGATTATCTATTTTTTTCTTAGAAACATGATTTAGTCAGTTTTATCCAATCCCTCTCTATTATGCTCTAATTTCAGTTTTGATTTTTCTAATCCTAGCATTTACACCATTTTACCAATCTTCCCAAATTATTATAATGCTTACTGTATAACCTCGTTATTTTTAACGCGGGTATATTTGATATTTGCTAGTTCGAAATTCGTTATTTAGAACCAAATTTCAAAGCCCGATCAAAATTCATGTACTTCTAATAAAAAATATTTATCAGATGTTATGATCGTTTTAGCCAAATCCTCTTTATTATTATTTTAAAAATTACCCTGTATTTCAATTCTTCAAAATTTATCAAATTTTTTTTACAAAAAATACCTCCCAGTATCGAATCAATGGCCTAATTATCACGAGGCTATCCATTAATTTTTTTTTGTAAGTATATCGATTTCTACTCGTTTATGTCTAGTTGACAATAAGGATGGAATTATATTTATGACAAATGAAAATTCTTCGTTTATTCACCGTCAGATACGTTCAGATTAAAATACCGATTATCTCTCCATTATAATTGTTTTTATATCAGTATATATTTTGCACATTTGAACGCTATTATTATTTACCATACCATACCATTTTGTGTTACAGGAATATGGCCCACATTTCAAACACTAGTGGATTACGTTTACCCTATTCTAGACAAAATTGTTGATAACAACTCTAAGGCAAATAGGAATAGCTCTACTTTGGGGAGAAAACGGGAAAAGGCAATAGAGGATGAAGATTTAAAGGAGGCTATGGACGAGGACTACGAAGAAGAAACAGCACAATCTAAAGATCATCAGCCTTCGGTCTGTATATTTATAATTTTATTTATTTTTTGAATTTATATAATTTGTATGAAAACATAAGAAAGGAAAAAATAGTTTTTTAGAAGTATTATCTAATTTATAATCGGGATTTAGAATGAGTTATGGGTAAGGAATAGTGTTAAAACAATAGTTTATTTTTTAAATATTGAATTTCGCTATAAATAAGCTGCTACTTTTGATTTTTTTATTACAATACCCAATAGCAAATATATACTACATACTACAGCAGGCGTGCGTTAAATTCGTTTGTTATCTTATACTTTCTCAAAATTTTTCTACAAACCTATTGCCAGATTCTGATTGATCACAATATTCTTATTGTGTTTAAACGTTCTTATAATCTATTTTATTTTATCATCTCAAAATTAAATACAAAATTAAAATGATAATTTATTGTAAAAAAATAAATTAAAACATTAAGATCTCAAAATTGAAATCGAGCGATATCTATCATATAACTTAAATACTAAAAATCGCTTTTTTGGTAAATTAATTTATTATAAATGAAAATATATAATATACAAGTAACAGTAAAAAGTTATATTTATAACTAATTGATAATAGTACCATTCAAATGATTATAAATAGAAATATTAGAGATGTCATAGATATCACTTTTTTAGCCGATCAAATAGTGTTGTTAAAAAGTCCGATTTGGGTCGATTTAAATATGACCCGATTGGGATTTTAGCCAAAATAATATTATGTAAGCTTCGGATTTGGCATAGGTCCAAACCTTTCTGCCATTTATGAGAAAAATCTCCAAGCTTACATAATATTATTTGACTTAAATCATAATCGGGCCGTTTTTAAAAATCGAGCCTTTTAACATTAGATACAATTTTTTTTTAATTGAAATATAAAATACTTTGGTTTATTTCAAAAATATTATTATAACATTCATAGTCTCCATTTCCACAAAAATTATTTTTTTGATTATTGATTTGTAAAAAATACGTCTTTCAAATGAAACTTGTAGTCGTAATTTATTAATAAAGTTAATTTTGTAACAAAATCTTAAAATAAAAAGATTTAGGGAAGAAAAAAATTTAACAACGCTTTCTTCTTTCTTTCCTATTTAAAAATAGGCTAATTTTTTTTAAAAAAATATAAAGATTAATAAGTATTTAAGGATCGGTCCCTGGTATAGTTAAAATTGAAAGTATTGTCATATACCGTCTGATACCCTAGTATCAGTATCGGCGCATCTCGACATATTTATCGATTTCTTTTCATTTAAGCAGATGCGGTTGGCAGCTTCTTTCAGGCACTCTTAAATCTGCAGCCAATCACTCATAATTTTTTTAAGCAATCCTTTTTTATAACGTCTTTCTTTCGCCATCTGCTATTGCAATCTTGAATATATTCCTCATTTCCCAATTCACTTAAAAACTTGCTTCTTCCTGGATTTTTTTGCTTCTTTATAGATTTCCTTGTCTTCCACCATTATAATTTTTTACCATTTTGTGTAACACCTCTTTTTCTTCTTGATTATCTTTTTTACATCAGAATTTATCTACCATATCTCTCCGCGTTCATTCAAATAGAAGTTTTTTGTTTGTTTCCTTTGGCATTCATGCTTTAGAGATTTCAAACAATTTTTTTTACTAGCATATTAATAGATTTATTTCTCGCACTCCTATAATTAATCAAACATTTAGCCCTATACTTATAATTCTTTTTAATTTTATCTTGATAATTCTCCGATCATTTAGATTAATGCCATAGAAGATCACTTCTTCTAGATTGCTTGGACAGAAAATCAACTCCAAAATAATAAAACAAAAGTGTGATTAGCAAAACTAAAGCTCTCTTTAAAGGAGCTGAAAGCTTAAAAATGAAAATGTACCTTAAAAAAATACCAACAATAAAAACTAAGATTAAAACAAAAAAGTGCTTATTTAAGTTAATTCTTTAAAAAATTATATTAAATTCCTGACTCAGTTGACTTAACAATCTTTATAGACAACGGCGATTTTGTTCCATCCCATTTAAATGATTTAATTTATACTAAACTCGAACAAATATAAATAATAAGCAAGCCACTCTAGAAATATTTAGCCTCGAGATTGATTTTAATAAAAATTAAATTTATAATTTTATAAAATATTTCAGGGTAATCAGAATAAACTTACTACCATATGGCGTACATTTTCGAATAGTACTTCCGTCAAAGATCGGAAATCATCCGAAAATACAGGTTTTAAAAACGAATTAGCTATTTAGTATAATAATTGTAAACTCAAATATACGTTCGTTGATATAAAGATATTGTCACTATTTCTGACGTTTTATTATTAGGTTATCAACATTCCCGAAATTCAAAATCATAACTGACCCAATCCAGAAAATTTAAATAAAAAAAAATTCCGACCCAATCCGATTTTCCCAACATCACCCAAAATAATGTACCTTAGGTGTATTATATAAAATAATAGAAAATTTACGAAAATATAAAATGATATAGAGAGGCGTATAGGTAGTGAGCGATAGTGTCCTACATTATTATTTTTTTCGAGGTTTTTACTTATAATATTTGGTAGCGTCGTAAATTATTAATGTATCTAAAAAAAATTATGGCAGATGTGGCTCAGAAGGTTACATATCTGAAATTTTCAACAAGTTAGGGTTCGATTTTGGGTCATTCCTATATGATTGCTTGGTTGAGTTCTTTATATTTCCTGTCTCACTTCTATATAAATTTATATATTTTCTCATTTTCAGAAATAAACTAAGGAATTGCATTTTTACTCAGGTCAGAGAGACACAAACAACACTTAGTAATATTCTATTGATTTTATTAAAACAAATTAAAATATGAATTTGGAATGCAAACAAAATATAAAGTAAAAAATATAGTAAATGAGAAATCTGATTTAGTAAAATTATAATTGTCATGAACAAATAGTATTTTATTAAGATTCGTGGGACATAAAGAAGTCCTTTTTGGTGGGTGTACTAGTTGCAGGTATACAAAAGATCTTTCTAGCTAAATTAGCAGGCCTAGGAAGTTTCTCGCTTTTTCCCAAAAAGTGAGTGCATCCTCCTCTGGTATACTATATTACCTGAATAAAATATGGCATTCCTGCTCTAGATTGCTAATTTGGTTATAATCTTTGCTTGGAGGGGAAGGTTCACGACCTATTTTAATTATATATGAATTGGATATTTGCCACTATCTTCAACTTGAACCTCACTATGCATTTCTATCATGCTCTAAAAGTTTTAAATATCTAATTTAAAATTAGAATTTAAATATTTAAAACAATTTCAAGATTTTGAAATCTCGGATCAAGTAGCGTCGTTATCGAATGTTTATTATATAATTTTATTAATAAAAATATTATATAAATTACTTGAAGTTCGGTAAGAAATCCTATTCAAGCCTTATGGCATATTTTCTTTTAGACAAATTATATCTGAGCAATCAAATTTATTAATTTGTATGTGTTTCTATTTCACTGCGAAACAATAACCCTAAATTTATTATTGCTTTCTTTTGGGAGGAAAGAAATTACACCAACTCGCTGAGTGGATTTAATAATGTATAAAGTTCGTGAACTAGATCCAACTCTTTATTGAAAAGTTCTAAAGATTATTTTCCTATTTTATTTAGCACTTTATTTATAGGAATCTTGTCACAGCGGATACTTTTTAGTATAATTAATATGCTGTTTCAGAAGGTAGGGCAATTTAATTTTAAGGTTTTCGTATTAATTAGATCTGTTGGTACAGTGCAATTTATATTATCAGCCTCACCAGAGATATCAAAATGTTCACAAAGGTATGGATCAGAATCATCAATATCCAAAAGATGGCCTGTCTCATAAATTGATTGCAGGCATTTACGATGCTCAACCTTAATTGCACATTCCAAATCGGATACTCGATATCCGAGGGCTGAAAGGATTTCTTTAATTTTTTTAAATTAGAATATTAATTCATGTAACTGCCATCAACTTTAACTAAGTTATGGAGACCATGCCCTAAGCGTAAATAATGCTCATAATTCCCAATCTCACACTTCTTTTGACATTTGTCCCAGCATCATTTACCATCTGAATTATTTTGTTTTTTAAATGGAATTCCTCTTTTATACCTTCGATATCCGATAATATGGTTTCACCAGTATGCTTTTCACGTTTCTAGTTGCCATGTAAAATTTTTTAAATATAAATTTTTATTTAAATGATGAAGACTAAATGTGATATAATTCTAAAAATTCTACACGTCGCGCTGCCGATAAAAAAATTAGCGGAGAGCCAGGCTTATCTCAATCGACAGCTTCACCTGAAGAAAATTGCCGGCATGAGCAGGCGCACAAATCTAGTTATTTCATATCAAAGAGCAAGAAAATTGAGATTTTCGGCTCATCCATTTCAATTTCGATAAAAATTTATAGACACAACATACATGTTTTAGTTAGATTAACAACGAGCTTTTAGCTCGTTACTCATTATATTATTTGAGATAATGTGGATAAGGTATAAAAATTAACCTTTTTTTAATCCCTTTTCCCTGTTAAATAATTAGTTATTAAAAACGAAGTAAATTTGAATATTCGATTTTATATTTATAAAGAAGTCAATGATTAATAATTAGGCGAACAAACAAAAATAAAAAATTTCGTTATATATGCTCATCGTATGTTTACAGTTGAAAGTTGAAAATTAAATTTTCAGATTGGGAACTCCAATTTTTTTTCATACTAAAAATATTATGAACAATGAATTAAAAAACATAGATATTATTTGCTATATTTGAACATTTCAATGCACAAAAGGCTTCTTTTTTAAAAAAATTTTTAAACCCATTTTAAAGCAATACAATTGATTTAAAAAGAATATCGTGTAATTAAAAATAAAAAAAAAATTTATTCTTGGATTATTCCGTAATTTTTTTTTATCAAAAGCCTTTAATGATTTCAAACAATAAAAAAAATCTTTTATTGCATTGGGATGTTCATATGTAACCCCATCTATAGGTTTCTTACCTTGCATTCACAGTTAGAGGGAATTCGTGGCGAAGTTTACAAAATATGCTGTGTTTTTTTATTTTTCGCCGTAAATTCGCGCTAACTGTGAATGAGGGGTTTTACCTTATTTGCAATATTTTGAGAAAATTAAATAGTAACTAACAATTATTGAAGAAATTGTTAGAAAATTATTAAACGAGCAGAAAAATTTTCATTTTTCCCACTAAAATTATCAATTAGATTTAGTTATAAATAAATATGTTAATATTCAAATTGATTTAGTTTTTAATTAATGGCTTATACTTAACAGTAAAAAAAGAGTTTAAAAAGATAGATTTTTATACATTAAATCCCCATAATCTCAAATAATTAACGAGCTAAAATTTTGTTTTTAGTCTAACTGGTTAATAAGATATACCTGCAAATTTTGTTGAAAATGAAAGAGGTAGGTTGTTAGGTGCTTGATATAGAATGACCTTTTTCAGTTTTGGAAAATAATTTACTGAATCCAACCTTTTGGACCCGTTAGCTTAAAGAGGGTAGGATAAAAGATATTGATCAAGATTAGCTTATGTTAAAAAAAACGTATGTGTATTAAATAAAATTACAGCTAGAAGTCTGCATTTGGAGGGTTTTTCGCCCGCCCACGCCCGCTTATTTTTGAATGGGTATGGTCGGGTTTTTAAATATTTGTAACATTGGGCGGGTGGAGGGCGGGATGAAAAATTTTTAAAAGTAATGGGCAGGGGTAAATTTTAGATATTTTTCAGGCCAAATGAGCAGGACAGACTTCAATTTATTAAAAATAATAGTTTTATTTCCTAATATTGCATATTATATATGTTTAATTAAAAATACATTTAAATAATTAAAGAGCCAAACCAGCTATTCAAATAATTTTAAAACATTAGGCGGGCGGCGGGTTAAACAAAATTTATAGATAGGTAAATTAAGAAAAAAAATATAAGTGGGCGGGTTAATTAAATTTCAAAATAATGAGTGGGCGGGCTTTTTGGCCAAAAACCCGCTCATTGCAGACCTCATTATTTTATACCCTGAGCCTGACCAACGTTTGTATCACCCAGCTTTATAAATGGCAAGTGATGGATTGCGTTAGTGCATTGTAGATGGAGTATATAGTTACCAGTTCGGATCACATCCATTTAAAAAAAAAGAGTTGCCCCCTCTATGCAAACTAATCAAAACTGTTCGGTTTTTTATTTTATCATACTTCACCCAACCTAGCCGACTATTTTTTTAATTGATCTTTATGTTACTACTTGAATCGAATCATCGATTTGTCATTACGAAAATAAGGATGTTAAAATGATAATTTAATGTGCATTTTAATAATCGTTAGAAATGTACCGGATACAATTTTTTCACTGACAATCTATCCTTAAAATTACCCAGCTGACTCTGAACCAAATTTCAAAATATTTATTAACTCTCTTAAAGAGAGTTTAATTCAGTATGAATAAATTATTAGTATATCTTCAACAGTAGGATAAATATAATTAATTAGGGTTTAATATATATTTTATCTATCTGAATATTTCTCTTTCTCTCAACCCCACACCACTTATCTTCAATTTTCAATTCATATATTACCTAAGTAGTATCATATCTAATATAAAGTTGTTCATTTTCTTCGCCTAGTAAAAAAGAAGGTTTTATATAAACATTCTGCTCGAATGTTGTAAAATTCAAAGATTATATTGATCTATGTAAATATCTAAAGTAACAAGCGATTATCATTGTTTTCATGGGGCGGATTTTTGTTAGGATATATAAGGTTATCAGGGGTAGATGAATATGCTAACATATTGATCATCATGTGTCACTTTATTTTACTTAATTGGTTCTTTTTTCAAAAATAATATAATCCTTTTTTTAGCGATCAACGCCTTATTATTTTATGCTCTCAATGAATCGAATATTCTTTCTAAGAATTTAAATCTTAATCAAGTATACGAACTTCTTTCAACCGTCTCTATGCCACTTCCCTCCATTGAATCTACCATCCTAATGCACAAGCTACCACAATTATATCAGAGATCTCTTACTATAGAAGGCGAGGTTTTATTTTTTTGAAACCATTATTTAAAACAGACCTGCAGGCCTAGCCCTAAGCTCGGACCGAGCCATATTTTAATTTTTTAAAATAAACCCAGGCCTGGCCTGAAAATTTTTTTTTTAAAAAAAATTAATACCGGGCCATATATTTTAAAACTAAATATTTGAAATCGTCATTATTAGCTATAAAAATTAGAAATAAAATAAATATAGCATATTTTAAAAAAATCTGGGCCAGGCCTGAAAATTTTTTTTAAAAAAAATATGGGCCGTGCTAAATAAAATATTTGAAAAAAAAATCCAGGCCTTGCAAATGCCTCTGCAGGTCTCTGATTTAAAGTTAGTTTGTAACATGATTCTAATTATCTATACAAAATTATTTTATAAATCAAGAATGAAGTTGCCAAAAGTTACGAGCAAATGTTGGGTGAAATTTTGATCTCGAGTAATCATTTCAATAATAGCAATCTTATATCAGAATCCAAAACAGACTCAAGTTGGACATTTATTATTAGAATTATCTGCTAATATTTACCTATTTCACTAAAATTTAAAAAATAAGGCACTATAGTCTTTGTTATTATGTTGGATTTTTGAATATAACTGATATAACATAAATCAGCAACTTACGTCTGCACTAGAGGTCTGGATGGTTATAAAATATGTAATAATAAATACACGTCCATGCATACATATACTTTACATCCCTCTCAGCATATGGTGTTGTATCTCCTCTTTTATTTACCCCCCCCCCCCCTAAAACCCCGCCTATAACCTAAATATTTATCTTCCCCTAGAAAATTTGATGAATAAAATAAATTGTTCTCATACTCACATAATTAAATTAATTGTATTCACTTATAATCTTACTCAATAAATAAATCTGTAATGATTGATTATATTTATAAATCGACAATTTATTTGTGACCAAAAATTTAATTGCAGCACTTTTGCTTCCAAGATTGAAAATTTATTTATTACCATATACTACATTTTGTCTTGGAAGTCCAAATATTCATATATGGTTTGATGGATCTACTTTAAATATAAAATTTAGGTTAACTGAAAGAAAAATTGTTTTATGGATATATAAAATGCACATAAAAAATATTTATAATTAAAATAAATTTAATAATAAAATTTAGTTCTATTTTTATTTGGATGCAATACAATTTCTGAATATTTTATAGGCATATTTCCCTTTGAGTATTATCGCATGAGCATAAGGAAGAGGACAAAAGTAATAATCGTTAAATAGAATTTACAAATGTATAAAAATAAAACATTATAGAATTTACAAATGTATAAAAATAAAACATTTTACAAAAGTATTTAATATAATAGATCATAAAATTATAATGCCAAGATTAATTTGTGACACCTAATAATCCTCCTCCTCTATCTCTTATAATTATCACTGAAATAATTGGGTTTATTTATTAAATTTTTGTTTAAACAAGATATTAACGAAGAGCTATCCGTGATTAAAATAGAATTGCCAAATTTAGATATCGAAAATATAAAAGTTACGCCACTTAATTTTGACTGGAATGGCAAAGTAAATAATTTAATATGATATATTCTTCAAATTCAATTGTTCAATTTATTTTTAGCCACGAGTCCAGCCCGAAATTTTTAATTGAAAAAAATAAAAATTATACCATATTAAAGTCTCCAATTTCTTTGTCCTAGTTCTAGAGAAATTCGAATTTCGTTTTGTTTTAATAAAGGATACGAAAACATTATTATTTGTTTTATTTTTAAAATCTTTAGAAACTAACTAGGTCCCTCTCATAGAGTTAATATTATACATATGCAGGGTTGGGCAGTATCGCGGATATTTGTAACTAAGATACAAGATACTTTTGTATCTTGAATCTTTTTTAAAATTTTGGGAAGTATTCTGTATCCAGTATCTAAGATACATATTATTTAAAAGTATTTGTATCTTAACTAACTTTGTATTCAAAAAGATACAGATACTTTAAAAAAAATTTATATTGGTTAATTTAAATAGTATTAAAATTTAAAATGATATTGTTTTAAGATTTAAATGAAAAATTTAATCAAAATTTAGATATTTTAAGATAATTTTTTATATAAGACGTTGGTCGTCATATAGCAATTTGCTAACAATTAGAACTACCATATTTGAATCGTTTTATATTTGTCTATTTTAAAACTATGGAAGAAGAAAATAGAATAATATGTTTATCTTTGTCTTCAGATGATTCTTCAACCGAAAATTATAACAATAAATTTAAACTAAACATACTTAATGGCAAATTTTTTGAAGTACTTCAAGATGATCATAATAAATAAATTCATCGTGACTTTGGTATTGGCGAAAAAGTTATAGCAACTGTTACAGATAACGGCTCTAACTTTAAGAAAGCTTTCAAGGAGTTTGGATATTATATAGAAGCTGTAGAGAATGACTTTGACATCAATGATGATGAATGTATAGAATTCGAAATCATTGAAAGTATTATTTAATACTTCTTTAAAATTTATTATGATATTATAAATTTAGTAAAAAAATTTATTCAAATAAAATTATTTATTTGTTTATTTAAGGGTCTAAAGAAGCCTCAATAACATTGCCTCAACACATTCGTTGTTTATGCCATAGGATAAGTCAAATTGCCATAACAGATGTCGAGAGAGCTATTAAGGATTCTCCTAACATTTCTAAAATTCATCATCCTGCAATAGCTAAATGTATCTAAGCTATGGAATGCAAATAATAGGCCTAAAACTGCAGAACTTATCAAAGCAGTTTTAGGAAAACAATTAGTTACACCTAGTTGCACTAGATGGAATATTTTGTATGGATAGTCTTCATAGTTTATTAAAATTTAAAGGCGAACTTCCTAAATTATGTCAAAAATTAGAATTTCCTAAATTAAAAGATATTGAAATTCAATATTTAGAAGAATATTGCAATATAATGGCCCCATTGGCTATAGCGATTGACAAAATACAGAGGGAAATCAACTGCTATTATGGACAATCAGCTCCAATTTTAAATGTCGTTAAAAAAATTACAAATTTAATTCAAACCAATCTACAATTTTGCAAACCATTAGCTATTGCCATAGAAAATTATCTAAATAAAAGATTTAAAAATATATATGATTTTGATAACAATTTTAAAAGTGCATTTTTGGCAACTATTTTTCATCCCTATTTTAAAAATCGTTGGATTGATGGTGAAAAAGAAAAAAATACCTTCAGGATTTGTTATTACATGAAGTTTTAATTGTTTTTAAAAATAATATTGAAATTAATACTTCAACAAAATCTTCAATTGATGAAGATGATGATTATGCCTTAAAAGTACCACATCCAATTCTAATAATTCAATAAATGATATTGAAATAGAGGTCCTAAATTATATGAAAGATGACAGGCTGAGTATAAATATGTTAAATAGTTATAAATATATAAAAAAAATATTTATTAAATATGACACAATATTACCTTCCTCAGCCCCCGTTGAAAGATTATTTAGCTTTGCTAATATGGTTAATAGACCAAATCGTCAAAGATTGAACGATAAATCATTTGAAAAATTAATAATATTAAAAAATAATGCTGATTTATTATTATTTACTAATTATATAATTATTAAATGGAATATCGCATTATCTTTTATAATAAATTTGTTATTTTCTACAATTTATTTTAAATATTTTTTATAAATTTATATTATATAAAGAAAATAAAGCTTTATACATTTTGATTTTGACTATTTAAAGTTTTTTAAAAAAGTATCTTGTATCTTAGATACTTTTTTTAAAAAAATACAAGTATCTTGTATCTTATATCTTATTAAATTTTTTTAAAGTATCTTGTATCTTAAATACAAAATTTTATAAAGTATCTGTATCTGTATCCGAATACAATTTTCTGAAAATTTGCCCAACCCTGTACATATAGATACGTAAAAATAGTATGACATCCAGTGATATTAAATACTAATTTTTGTTGCTATTTTGACATTTTTACTTTTTTGTACTTTAGTATAGTAAATCGGTTTTTATAATACTTTTTTTTTAATATTTCGATTATCAAATGTTATTAAGATAATTCATTAAATAATATTCGAAGCTTTAAAATAATTTTTAACCCTTCTATCTTTATTTATTTCAAGTTTACCTTTAAATTACTTCCCTTTTTTATAGTCTAGATATCACTTAACTATATTATACATTTTTTTTTATCATATATCTACATCTCAATCATTTTTTTCTAATTCCTTTACTTTTTAGAAATATAAAATTCTTTCTTTAATCAAAATTTAACAACGAAAAAGGTTTTATTAGATATTTTCTCCAACTTCCAAACCTCCTCTAAATTATCGCCCACGCTACAGAACCGTGCAATAGATTCTTTACTTAAAACCTTCTCTGATCTAAACTTGGCAGTATCTCGCAAAGTTGTCGATACGATCACAAATAAACACCTATCTGATGACTTTTTAACAACTTTAAAAAAAAATCCCTTGAAAGTCCTCAACGAGCTTAGTCTCGATACCTTACCAACAACCACCACTCATGGCACTCCTTTAGTCAACCGTCATTTTTCGGACAACCTCGATCGAACTATGCTTTATGCGGATACAAGCACAGAAAGGCTCGAACAATTGTTAACTAGATTGACGGCTGTCAAAGATCGAAACCAAGACGCCAATCAAGATAATTTAAGGATTCGGTCCCTCAAGAGGCACTTAGTAATGCGATATTGTAGGGATAGGACTGACGGTAATTACAAGGTTTGAATTTAATAAAATTTATTTCAAGAATGTACAACTTTAAAAAAAGAGTAAATAATAGTATCAAGACAACTAGAATTTATTTTTTACATATTTGAGCCTATTCGGAAATATTTTTAATGTTCCATTTTACTCTTTTTTAGATTTTCTTATATTAGGTTTCAGGGATTTATAATAATTCACACTGGCTTTGTTTTGCTTGGGAATTCTGGTAATTTAGTTATGAAACGACTTTATGATTCCCAAAAATGTGTTTATTTTCGAATATTAACTTTTCTTTATATATTTCTTAACTGAATGTTTTGCATTTTATTAATCAATTTCTATTAACAAAGAATTATAAAAATAATTCTCAAATTAAAGATTTTACTCTATATATTAATCAATATTAAAATAACGCATAAACCAGAACAATCACTCCAAAATAGAATCTCTAGCACAATCCCTCACTATTCCACCTTACACACAAGCTGATGCTGCCGCGTTTACTCTTCTAATAGATTTTTTTGCCCGGAACGGGGACGGGATTAAGGCTTTATCTTTCAAAAATTTACGGGAAATAGCCAATGATAAGTCTGATTTCGGTTTCAGGAATTTGTCTATACCTAAGACGTTGGAAATCTGTACAGCTCTTGCAAGTATATATATTCTATTTATTTTCATCAGAAGGAAAAGGCTATTAGAGACAAAAAAAATAGAAATTGGAATGTAAGGAGTGAAATGGGGGAATTAAAGAATGAAAGGGGACTGATCATGACAATATAAAATTCTAAAATTACACAATATTTAAAACATGGGAAAAATTATTTCAACCTCCTCACCACCCATTTTGATTTGTTTTTTAAATTACGGAAGCCTGAATTTGTATACCTATACAACTTTAAAATATTCTATAATACATAGCCACACAATGAATATTTTCTTTCACCTCTCATTTTTAAGTTCAATCATTAGCCGGAATCGATTGTGAAGAAACTAGGACCGACTCAATCCTTGAATTACTTTCTGAAGCGTCCATCATACCTCTCTCATCTCAGCCATTCACTTTATCTAATTATTCAGACTCCAAAAAGGGCTCCTCTCAAGATTCGCCTTACACTCCTTTGGATTCTTACTCAAAAATTGATCAAAATCCAGGAAGCGTTTATAACGAAATAAGTTCCGAAAATTATGGCAATAACGATAAGGACAGGGAGTCAGCGATGGGGCAACAACGGTACCTCAATAATAACAGCAATGTAAGTCCTAGGAGCAATACAGAGTATCAAGTCTGGAAATTGTTGAGTTTAGCTTCTGGCGGAACTAATAATCTTGATGATTTAGGGAAAAAACCTGGTAAAATTTTTTTAAAATTAATATATCCTACACCATTTCATAATAAAAAATATACAAATTAAGAATCTACTTTGACATCTACCCTTACAAAATATTTTTAATTATTATATTAATGTTTTATGGTTGATACATGTTATAAATTATTAATTAATTTGTATATTATATATAGTATTGAAGGACTTCGATAAAATATTTGATGCCACCTTAAATTTATTGGGGCTCGTCATTGCACCCAGCGGGAAATCCAACCCATCTCCTAGCATTTTATCTACCCTGATCAATGCTAGATTAAATCAGTAATATAATAATTTTTATTAAAGAATTTTGATTGTTATATAAAATCAGATTTATAACTATAATGTTCTATAAGGAGTTGAATGATATCTGAATTTTGTTTTAGAACGTGACTGTTTTCTTAGAAGAGGATTATATTCTAACTCCACTTATGAACAATTTTGATTATAATTAAACGACTTCTTTACTTAACCTTCAAAGTTTAAGAATAAAATCGAATTTATTTTATAGCTTTAAGACTTTTAATGATATTAGCATATATCTATTTAACATATAAATTATTCACTATATTTTCTATTTCTATAGAGGTGATATGAAATCTGCGTTAAATGAGTTCCACAAATTTGCTCTGGAATATAGGGTCACACCACACTTAACTATTTTGCTGAAAAAACTTATCCAGAATAATGACACAGATAATTTACAGAAAAGTTTATATTATATTATGTTGTTTTTTAATTTATTCAGATTTCAGTTGAAAAATGTTTTAATTTAGCCAAAAAAATTTATAGCAAATAAATAAAAAAAATATTTTAAAGTTTTTCTGAATGTATTTAGAATAAATAAAACGTAATTTTAAAGTTCTTGAGTGTTTTTATAATAAAAGGTGGATGGGGTAGGTCAACTTAAAATCAAATATATATTTTTTTTAAAAAATAAATAGATTTATATACTGGAAACTTATTTTCTCTCTTTAATTTTTTTTGTAAAAGAAATTGTGCTATATATTTAAAAGTTTTATTCATTTATTATTGTTAACAATATTAACTGTAAAGTGGTCGATGTTGCATCTGAAATACACACAGAGGCTAACACGTTAATCGATCTTCTTTTCGCTTTCACTGATTTGGGAAGATATAAAGAGGCTAATAAAGTCTTAGAGGTATGTACTTCCTTTTTTTAAAATTAAATTCAATAAGCCAAATAGCTATAAACCTCAGGACTTAGAACAGTATTCATCTAAGTCCCTATGTAATCAATGATTTTGATTGTCTAGATCATACGATATACATACATTTATTTAAAAACTCGAGATAGTGGGCTAACTAAAGTTTTATTATTTACAAATTTTGCATATTATTTTATCTATTTTAGACAACTAATATGGTGTATAAATTTTCAAGATTCGATTTTTATTGCTTGCGTTATGTCAAAGACAATAAAGTATATATCTTTTTTATAAATCTGCAATATATTTTAAATCGGATATCGTAGTTTTAAAAATTGGAATGGGCAAAAAAAGATTATATGATTTTTTTTAAACCTGTATGTATTTTTCAATTTTTGACAATTTCATATATTTATTTTAAAGTTTAACTTATTAAATTAGGTTAAAGAATTGGAATACATTGTTAACGCCACGAAAAATTTGAAAGACATAAATAAAGATCAAATGTATTATTACTTGTTGAAAGTTTATGGTAATAATAATTATGAAATTTTTTATACTTATCGCTTCCTCTTTATCATTTTTCTTGTTTTTTTTATCATATTTGATAATAGAATAATTATGAAATCTTGTTCAGTTAAGCCTTAATTGTTTTATTTAGGAAGCTAAAATTTATATAAATAAACATAATAAAATTTTCATCTCTAAGAATGTGAAGTTGGAAAAATATTTTTTGGCCAATACTTCAGCTCGCATATCAGAGTCCTTACTGCAAATCCTTGTATGTGGAATTTTTAAAATTATTCAGGAGGTCAAAAAACTTTTAATAAATCTTAGTTTAATAAAATAATTTGCTAATATGATAAAAGAAATCTTATGTGCTTCATAATATTTTTTCATAAACTAAGTCTTATTAAAATATGAACATTTTTGGATGGTTCTAAGTAATCTAATATGAAAAAAATGTTTCTAATAATTATTAGGATTCCAGCGGTGATCTGATCATAGAGAACCTTTAATGTAGACCCTTTTTTGCAAAAGGAATTTTTTTTGAAAAACATTACGACGACTTGTAGTGAGGACGGCGTTATATAAAATGTACTAATTAACCTTACCTTACCCTAACCTAAAAAAATGAAATATATACTTGATATCAGCGCTATCTTTGGTTTCAACAATACAAAGTTTATATTGAATTGGGTGCTAACTATATCATGATCATTTTTTAAAACTATCAGGTAATAGTAAGAGAAAAAAAAGTCATGCTTGAAGTAGAAATTTAATTTCGAGAAAAACGTATAGCAAGAGGAAATTGTTGTAGGAAATGCGAGACATTGAAAATTAGATTATGTAGAAGTTTAAACTTTCGACAATTTTTACAGTTGGCTGAGATTTTTAAAAACGACAATTCCATTTCGTTAACATTCTAAAAAGAAACTATTTCATTTAAAAAACATATTGGGGTTTTAAGGTGAAAGAATGGGGTGGGGAATATAGATGATAATATTTTAACCACAAGTAAATTTTGAACGTGATAATTAAGATATAATAATTTTCAAAGATAAAAATGACGATCATTTCTCAGCCCTTAAATTGTGGGATCGTATGTTAGATGATGAGGATAGCAATTATTACTTGCTGATTAACAATAACGTAGCCATTTCTGATTTGGATCCTAATCAAATTCATGATGATAGCACTAATAAGGAAAATAGAGACGTTAGCTACAAGTAAATACTATTTTTAATTTAAGTGCTAGCCTTTTTTAGGGAGTGGTCAATAGGGTTGTTAAACCCTACTTTTAAGAGTAGCGCGCTACAGCTATCGCTACTCATCAAAAAAAGTAGCGCACTATTACCTACTATTATTTAAAAGTAGCTTTGGCTACTTTTTATAAAAAATAATTAGAAATAAATTTGTTTTATTTTTTGCTTATATTGTAATTGCCTATAATATAATACATAGAAATAAACAATTATAAATATTTAAATATAGTTAGTTTTGATTATAAAAAAAATTTATGTAAAAAGGCTATAATATATGTAATAAAAGTAACTATTTATGGTAATATTCATTTTTTATTTATTTTGTTGCATTTTGATAATAAAATCATTTCTATACTATCATCCCCAAGTCTAAATCGACGATCAAAAAACATAAGTTTCGCCTTACTAAATAATCTCTAAACACTAACACTTGAGGGCAAGGCAGTATTTAATTTTATATACATATTTTTAATATAAGAAAAATTATCAAAAATATTCAATTGAGTATTTTTAGATTTAAAAAACGCGTCTTGGGGATTTTCTTTTATATTTGTATTCTTTATTCTAAAAAATTATAAATGGAAGTCGTTTTTATGGTTCTAACTAGGGCATTTTTGTCTGCTATCTCAATCATTAGTGTCTGGCGACAAAAAGTTGTTTTACCAGGGGATATAGTTTTAATCATCATGATAAATGAATGATAGATTATCCAATGATATTGGCTGAACTGTTAATCAATTTAGCTTGAATTGAATTGGTCTTTTGGATGTAGTCTCCCCTATACCAAAATTATTAAGATGTTTTTCTATCTCTTGTCATGAACATTCTTACAAAATAAAAATACTATTAGAATTTAAAAAGGTCAATTACTTTTAGGTGTTTTTTGAGGTTATAGCTACTATATTTATTTGAGGATTTATTTTTTACAGTTTAAACAAATAAATTTGTAACCACCTTTTGTATTTACATTAATTTTAAAATGTAAAATTTGTATTATTTTTATCATGAACATTTTCTTCCAGGGTACCTTCCATTTCATTAATATCATAATTGTATGACTTACTTACATCGATTTGAATATCCATTTCCGATTGCATTTTAAATAATTTACACCAGATGATTTAGGATTATAATTTAAAATGAATTATAAATTTCAAAATGATAATATATTAAAATTTTCATGTTTATAGTTACATTCATTATATTTTTAAAAAGTAGCTAAGTAGCAAAAAAAGGAGCGTGCTAAAAAAATAAATAATTGGGAAAAAGTAGCACGCTATTAGTTATCGCTGCCAAAAAAGATAGCACGCTACTTTAACAACTCTGGTAATTAAACATTCTCAGAACGCTTAAATATAATCTGAGAAATGGTATAATATTTTTTTATTTGGCCAATACTTTCCTGAGTACACCTAACATAATTCAAGGATGTTATTCATCATTAAGGAATCTACAAAAAAGAGTAATATTTACTCAAAGATGACATTAGCACCCTGGGATAAGTGGGGATTTTTAAAAAACTTTGACTGAAATAGTTTAATTAAGTTAAGGTTTAGATCCTAATTATAAATTTAATGAAGATATTAGTCACACCCCGGGATACGCAGCCTTGATATTTATACACAATTGACGTTATAAAAAAGGACTAACAGAATACTTAATTATATTTTTATAAATTTACAAACAAAGGGAGAGGGGGAAAAATTGAAAACAACATATTTCATATAGACAATTTAAACTAAAATACTCTACGATACGAATTATAAAAATATGTGCGAGAAAAAAAGGTAATATAAAAAAAATGAAAAGGAGAGTAAATACAAGATATATAAACTAGTGATCTACATCGGGCCTAATTTTCAAGCCCGGCCCGGCCCGAAATTTTTTTTGAAAAAGTTTTGCCAGCCTGAACCCGAAATTTATTTTTAAAAAATTTACCAGCCCGGCCAGGCCCGAATTAATTTTTATAATTACTTAAAATAAAAGACATATGTTATATAGCGTTTAGTTTCAATAAATTAAATCAAAATTTTTTATTTTACATAAAAAATTCAATATAAAATTGATAAATTTAGATATATTTGATAAAATTTCCAAAGTCCGTCCTGACCCGGCCCGAAATTTTTTTAAAAATTTTTAGGGCGGGCCTAACTTTGCAGATCTCTAAAACAAACTATATATATCAGAACAAAATTTTTTTTAAATGAAACTCGTAAAATAGATATCGATTGAACAACGCCAAGCTTAAAAATCTTTTATTGTTAGCTCAAATATTGAAAAAGGGTGACGCTTCTAAGCCTTTGCCATTTGTAATACCCGCTACTGCACTCAATGTTGATACTACAAAAAATATGACTAATAATGAGAGAATGGTAGGAGGGCCTTATGGAGACAATGTTATGCCTCAAGTTATATCTACTTTTTTTATTATTATTATAAAGTTTATTTTAAAAAAAGTTTCGAAGGATTTAAAATATAAATTAATATATACTATAATAAAAATAACATGTTAACTATGTATTTAATGGAACATTAAAATATTTCAAGGCACAAAGAAATAAAATAAATCTCAGGTTATGATATTATAAATAGTTCTTAACAAATATATTTGTTCAATAATTTTTATAATTAATTATGATCACACATTAAGATTTAAATGTAATCACAACTAATCATGAAACAGTGTAAAATGAACAGATTTCTGAAACCCATCTCAAGTATTAAAAGCGGAAAAACGTTTATAATAAAAACAAGTCAAATAGCTGGCTATATGTATTCAAATAAAAATTTTATAATTTTTTCTAGGACATTCAAAAAGACAGGGAAATTATCCAGTTACTAAATGAAGGGCAAATTGAAAAGGCTTTGATGATCAAAAATCGGTTTTTTAGATAAAATTTTTATATAAATATTTTGACAAATGAAATATTTTTTTTAAACTTTATTCTTAGATTAAAAAATAACGGGAAGGTGCTAGCTCCACATACCTATTCAACCTTACTAGAAAATTTGATAAGGATTGACGGTAAGATTCTGTTTTATACACAATTACTATCATTATAAAGACAATTTAATATTGATAATGAAATAATGTGTAAAATTTTTTCAGCAAATTAAATTATTTATTGAAACATTATAAATTATTCGAAAAATTAGAAATACATTCTATTTGCCCTAAGGTCTCTATTTCTTAGGTCGATATATTCAAAAAATTAACCTTTCTATCTGCATGTTAATAGAATTCGCCAAACCAAGCACAATATAAATTAATTTAATAGTAACCTGGTTAAAGGCTTGAATCTAAAACCCTGCTGGAATATGTTTGATTTGGTTAAATTTAGATTGGTTGGATAGACATTTGGGATCAATGACATATATACTACCTTAACTAATAATTCATTAATCTAAATATGTATCTTTTATAGTCAATACAATCGGTATCTTTATTTTAGATTCTGTTCTATATATAGTGTTTTATAATTATGTAATTTAACTTCTAATATTATGCAATTATATTCACCTCCATAATATAATATTAAATGTAGGAAAGTTATAATAATATAATATACAAATAACGTAACCTTTTAAATATATAAGATATTAAAATATAACAGTATCAATATAAATACGTTTATTACAACATTTCGAATTAATTTCCACAACCATAAAATCTTATTTTTTCTTAAAATATTTTTTGAATCTGATCGGACTTGAACTTAATAAGTAGGTTCTTTGAAGAAATTATTGGATAGGTCGGACAAATTTTTTCTTAGATTAAATAGGCCCGATGCTAATCATTAATTGTTAACGTTAATGTTATTTAACAATAAAAATATGAAAGAAAATAAGTTTAGTTTCGCTACATATATTATATTTTATATACTCAACTTGCTCTACATATTTATAGATAAGATAGAAGAAGCTCTGGCCTTAGCTAAAGAAATGAAACAAAATCATTTGTTTGTGTCCATACCTCTCGTGAAATCTCTACTTTCCAAGCTAAGCCATTTAGGTCGATACGACGATATAAAACAAAGCATCCCAGCTTTAGTTAACAATCCAACTTCTTTATTTAGGCTAAATATAGAGAAATATGTGGCCTACGCCTATACAAATTGGTTTGAATCTAATAATGAATAGATTAGATATAAGTGCACTTCGCTTATGATGATTAGTACATTAAGTTTATTTAAAAAAAAATTAAAATCCAGATTTTATCTTCATTTATTCTAATAATAAAAATATTAATGAGAAATAATGTTATTTTTTTGCAAGGTCTAATTTTTGAGCTATTTCTGGATTTCATTTTTCTCCATTTTCAAACAAGACCTAAAAATAAGTTGTTGTTTTTTAGCCCGGACTGGGTTTTTAAAACTTTTATTATTAAAGTTTATTTTGTCATTTTCGATTATTTCTAGGGAAATTGAAAATTTAGGCATCAAAAGAATGTAAATTAACTATTATTTGATTTCCCAACTAATTATCTAACTTAATTTTTTTTTTAAGAAATCAGCCCAGCCCGGTTTTGTTGGAACAAAATTATAATCAGGATTTTTAAATTAATATTTTATAGCCCGTTTTGTTGTGCCGAGTTCCACGAGGAATAAGAATATACTAGTGAGGGGTCTGCAATGAACGTTTTAAACCAAACATCTATTTATTGTTTTAACCTGATCCCCCGCCCGCCCATGGGTTTAAAAAATGATCGTTTATTCACCTAAAAATTATTTGTTTTACCCGCTTGCTCAATAAATTATTTTATTGTATTTTTCAGAGATCTGGATGTACCATTTACATGGCCCGGTCCCGATTTTTTAAAATATATTATATTTATTTTTGATTTTTATAACTAATATAGGCGATTTTAAAATTTGTTTAAAAAAAAAAATTTTAAGCCCGGCCCAGATATTTTTTTAAAAAAGAATTTCAGGCCTGGCCCTGGTATATTTTAAAAAATTAAAATCCGGCCCGGATCTTATACAAACAGACTGTCAAGCCCTTGTTTAAATTTTTAATCAGGTTGTGGTTTAGACAGAAAATTATTGGACATCCATAGCCAAATTTTAAATTGTTTTGTTTTTTAAAATGCTTTTTACAATTTTATTATTAGTGATGCAAAATCGCTTCATTTGAGCCTTTATTTAAAAATGGCTAACTCAGTATTTGATCCAGAAAAATATTACACAAATTTAAAGATTTTGCTCATAGATGGCACAAAGGTTTGGACATCTATTAGTCAAATCTCGAGGTTTAGGTAATTTCTGGCTTAAATTGCAGGGATCCAAACCGAAGAGTATCGGTTCAGGTTCGAATAAAAATAACGGCTCAAGGTTCAGGTTCGCAAAAAATAAAAAATATCGGTTCGGTTCGAACCTCTAAAAACTAGTTTTAACGCTTTTGTATTCAAACCTCGAATTATGTATAGGGAATTTTTTTTATTTATTTCATAGTTAAAATAAAAAACACATATATAAAACCTTCATTTTTATTAATTGTGCATTATAAAATAATATTTAATTTATAAATATAACAAATATCAATGATAAATTTTAATATGAATAATTACTTAAAAAATTTTTTATTAAGCCGCACAATTAATATATTTTAAAAATTAGTCTCACTCAAATTACATCTATAATATAAATTTAATTGTTGATAAACATCTTTCCACACTAACTTGGGTAGCCGGCACTGCTAGTATGATATCAGATTTGATGTGTCATTTATAATACTATATGTAAATAATTTATATATTGGAATTAATTTTTCTCTAGGCATAATTTATAAGCTTAAAATATTTAAAAAATGTTGTAAAATAGCAATATACTAAAGTTTATAAAAAATATGACTGACACTTATCAATCAAATGTGATTGATAATTAAAACAATTCGAATATAATTAAGATTTATGCAATATACTAGTAATAACATACACATTATTTTTTAAGCATATAATTATGAGACTCAAAACGGTTCAGAGGCATTTTAGAGGTTCGGCTAGAAATTTGTTTAGCGGTTTAGGTTCGATAAAAAATACCGGTTTTTAGCGGTTTAATGGTTCGGTTTGGATCCCTGTTAAATTGAGCTCCGCATCACTAATTATTATCATAACTTAGTTTTATTTCTGATCAGATTTAGATCTTATTTTAAATCAGGTCAGATCGCACTTTTACAATTATATATTTAAATTGTGATCATTTTAAGTTTATAAAGCATCTTGAGTAAAATAATTAGTGAATCAACTCACAATAGTAAATCAGAGCAAGATTATCAAGTGCTATTAATACATTCATTTTGTTTTATTATTAAAAAAAAATAGTGGTCAATATTTAACCTATTTGAAACAATTTGAAGACAACCTCGATGATTATTCTAAAAAAAACATTTCTCCTCAAGGGGTTTTATATGCTATCAACAAATTCCCAGAATGTTTTGAAAGAAGTTTTGACTATACATAAATAGTTTTAGTTTCCCTTATATAATTAAAATTTCCCACTTTTCATACAATTCATTCTATGCCTATTATTGCCTTATATTTTATTAACTTCGAATCTATCACATTCGTTTATTTTAAAAAAAAATCTTTTAGAAATTTTTAAAATTTTTTATAATAGTTATGTCCTTAGCCAAAGCTTATGCCCAAAAAGGTCAAAGTTATCACCTGTATAACCTAATATTCACTCATTACACCCTAAACAACAGGTTTCAGGAAGCTAAGATTCTTTATGAAGATACGCTCCGCCCTATTTATGAATCAAACCTAGAAAACGTTAATTCAACCACTTTGAATCCAGATAGTGATTTAAAAGATTCATCATTGAAATCTTCACCTGTTCTTATTAACATCATAACTATCTGCAAAAACGCTAAAGGGAAAAATGACGTAAAAATATTTGATAGTTATGAATGATTTAAATAAAAAAATTTAATTATAAAATTCTTCTATCAATATAGAAACGAGTAATGGAGAGATTATCTATTAAATACTAGTTCAATAAGTTGTAATTCTAACTAGTGCTTTGGATCTACTTTTTAAAGCCAAATCAGGTCGGATTTTTTTAAAAAAATATTGTCCAACCTGACCCAATTCTGAATAATTTTTTTATTCCTCGCAAAGCCCAAACTAAAATAAAAATTATTTGTCCCAGTCCGAATTTATTTAAATATAAAAAATTTTTCCCAATATCTTAATGTTATAAAACCCGATTCAGGTCGATTTTCAAAAACGGCCCAATTATGTTGATTTTAGCCAATATAATATCATATAAGCATGGATTGCAGAAAGGTCAGGACCTTTATTTGCAAAATTTTGAGACTTACATAATATTAATGGCTAAAATCATAATCTTGCCTTTTTTTAAATCTACCCAAATTGGGGTTTTTAACAAAATTCTTTACACTGAACATGAGCATAATCGAGTTAAAAATATTAGCTTTTTGTTTTAAATTTCTAAATTTAAACTAGTCTCAACCCGATTTTTTTAAAAAATATTAGGTCTTTTAAAAGACAATTTCTAATTATAACTATTTAATATATATAGGATTCATCGATCAAATTTTTGATAAATGATATAGGATTAAACTCAAGTAAATCGCAACTTGGTTTAGCCTTCAGCTTTTGGATTAGCATGAAATGTGAGTATGCTTCTTTTTGGTATTTAGACACATTTTATTTATGCCATATAATTATCTCTTAAATATATATTTTTTACATTGATTCTTATACCCCTTATTAGAATTAATCTCTATATTTCAAGACTACTGTTAATTATTGTTTTCAACGTGAATAAACCTTCTATCTTAACATAATATCGTTCATTCTATACATAATTTTTCAAAAATTTTAATTCTTAGGTCATAATTCTATGTACAATGACGCATTAGCTTTGTATGATCGAGCAATAAAAGAACATCAATTAAAAACTGAGCATTTTAGGATATTTGCTTTAAGAGAGCTTAAAAACTGTCTTACATCACAAGGAAAGCCTGTGCCATTTGACTTGCATCAAGTTTTTAATGAGTTTACTTTTAAATAAAATTACTTTTAAATTATATAAAAAAATTTAATCTTTCTATGTTAATATCAGATAAACACTCCAAATTCATTTAATGAGGAAAAACATGAAGCAGAAGTTTAGAAATAACTATTTTTTCAAGTGTAGACAAACATAATATACATACTTTTTAATTAGCTTAATTTGCATATAATACAATGTATGTAGTGGATTGAGGTTTTTTATTTTTACACGCATATTTTATCATTGTAGTTGCAATCTTTATATACATAAATAAAAATATTGAATAAATAGTCAAATAGTACACCTCAGATGGTTTTTAACTTAAAAATTGCATAATGAAGCGTTTTCTTTTCACGGTGAGCTTTCTGTCCTTCCTGTGTGTGATTTGATAGATTTTTTAACCAATCGTATTCTTCCTACAGTATTTTATTTTTATTACAAAAAGGAATATGATCTAAAAAATATTTAATATGACAATAATATATTGTTTAACAAAGTTAGATTAGCATATTTATTGATTTTTTAAGTCTACTAAACCTTACCTATTAAAAAATATAATATTTTAAAACAAATTATAATTAAAAATACACAAGGACTTATTGATTTATAGTAAGGCGACATTGCAATATGATGCATAAATTTTTTCGGCACACGCCTGTAGATAAGCCGATTAACCACCACCCAACTCAACTATACCAGAAATTTTATTAAACTATTTTTAATATAAAATCTCTGCACCAGAGTTTATTTTTCAGGTCTGGCTCAATCCTTGAAAATATTTTTGCTTTTTTAAAGATCTGAGTCAAATCTAAAATTTTATTTCAAAAGATAAAATTCAAACATTTTATTATATAACTATTAGTGTTGTTAAAGTAACTATTTACATTTTTGCGAAAATAATTGTAATTACTATAGGAAAAAAATTGTATTTAGAATGTAACGACAGCAACTAGTTAGATGTTTGCCTAAATTTGAAATTGTTGTTTTTATATGTCTCTTAATTACATCAGGTGTTCATGTAAATTAAATTACCTTTTCGACAAAAAATTTTTTTAATGAAAAATAAATATTTTATCAATGCAATTATTTCTTTATTTAAATTACTTTAGTGTGCCCAAAACATAAAAAAATTTAATTCAAAACCTTTAAAACTTAATTGAAACACAATATAAGCCTTATTTTAATGAAAAATTAAAAATGTGGCCAATTTTTTTTGGACCTTAATTAAAATTACTAAATTAATTTAGTATAATAAAGATTATTAAAAGACATAAAAAAGTTATAAAGTAGCTTTCAATGTAACTCGTGACCTGTAACTGGCGGCTACATTTTTTAAACATAAGAAGTAAGACCAGAGAGGAATAATGATAACTAGTTACTCTTCAAAAGTAACTTTTGTCAACACTTTTAATTACAAACTTTTTAAATAAATTTATATTTAAAAGGGCAATTCTTTCAGATACAATTATTTCTTCTATTAGAGACATATGATTTTGGTAATCCTATAAAATACAGAAAGCTTTATTTTCCATCCTTATTGAATAATCTTAAAATTTATAAATAAGTCATCAAAAAAATAAAATATTTGATTCCCGTGGCTTTAATTTTAAAAAATTCTATGAATAATTCAAATTATGAAAATTTAAAAATAATTTAAATTTATTATTATATTTAATTTTTTGGGGATGCCAAAGTTAAAGTTATGCAATGGGCGAATTTTTAGCCCGCCTGCTCATTCTATGGGTCAGCCTTATCTTTTTATAAATATTTAGGATCTCACATCTGCAGGCTCTCTGGCAATCTTCGAGAAGGCTTCTTCCTAAGATAGAGGCTGGTCATACTCTTCCTTTATGCGAACTAGCTTTAACAGCAATCATATTTCCTAGACTTATTCTTCCTGCTTTATTTTTTATGATATATTTCTTCTTTATTTTTTGGATTAATCTACTTTAGTTTATATTATTAAGGCTTTAATTTAATTAATTATATTTTTTATTAAATAAAAAAAAAGTAATTTTAAAAAATCTAGCAATAGATATTCCAAAAATATATATTACTAGCTGATAACCCGTCAAGAATGACGGGGAATCCGAATTTTCTTTTTATGGATAAATAATAAATTTTATTTTCATTTGACAATGGATTAATCAGAATAGTCAAATGAGAGGAATAGATTATCCGTATTCATTCTTACAAAATTTCTATAAATTTTTAGAGAAAAGGCCAAATATATTATGAAAAATATGGAGTAAAAAAATATGATTTGTGAATTTTGATATTTATCAATTCTTTTAACAAATTTTCCACATCCAGACGCTATGGCTTTTGCCCTTTCATTTCGTATAAAATCTACATTCATAGAATCATTTAAATGCTTTAAAACCTTCCTAGAAACTCTTAAAAAAAGACCTGCAGAATCAATTATTGGGGCAAACTTGATTATCTCACTAACATTGTGGTGGTACCCATTGCAATGGGCTATTTAGAAGATTATTAGCAAAAATAATTGCCACGGATCAAAACCTAGGGTCTTAACTAATTAATTATACGTATCAATTAGGATTTGGTGTTAAGGAGAAATAAAAAAGCTTCACATGCCATTTGTATTTTGACGCTGTGCAGTATCTTAATGACCTTCCTAACGAATTTAATTGATTATTCTACTTTTATTTTTCTTTACACAAACTGAAACCAAAAGTTTAATCACTCTACTTTATTTTTCTTTAAACAAAAAAATTATAAAGAATTAAAATTACAAAAAAAAAAATTAACAATTCCAATTTTTCAAAAAAAAATTTAATATAAAAAATTATATATTTAAAAAAATTAAAAATTAAATACCAATTATATTTTCCAACAAAAAAAATGTCCTCCACTCACCAAGAGTCTCCTCTTTTCAAAAGTAAATAATTCCGCATAGATTATAAAATATTAATCCGCACCAAAATAATAATAAAAAAAAATATAAAAGAATTTCACGAAAAAAATAATAAAATAAACAAAAATACTATCATAACATGTATTATATCCAAATCCTCCTCCTAACATGGCTATTATAAAAGTAGAATTTTAAAATGCTTAGTAAAATTTCGTGAACATTTCATAAATTGTTACTCCAAATTTCCTGTTTATTCAAAATTCCTAGACATACTGTAACATTAAAACTTCTTTATTCAGCCCTCGTGTCATGGATTGACGAAAGGATCCAGCAGGGGCCATACGTCCTAGTTTATTTTACCTTGATATTCATTATTTCATTATCTTAAATCTAAATTTGATTTGGATAAAAAAATTTGGTATCTTGATGCTGGAACAATCTGTGACACTCTTACTAAAATAATTTGTTATCACTTTCTTGAAGCCAATTTTACTTCTTCTTAGTAAGTCCAAATCCAAAAACTGTTTCCATGATAACAATATACAAAACCGTCATCTAGCAGGATTAAATTTTTTATTGAGTACATAAATAATAAAAAATAAGGAAATTAATATAATTAAAAAAAGTATATTCAAACATGTTTCAAATATTTGTTCATATAGAATGCAATATATATATATACACTTCATTAACATATTATAAGAATAATAAAAATTTTGGAATTAACTCTCATCAAAATAAGGTAAATTTCTGATTCACACCTCATATAAGCTTATTTTAATTTATCCATCATCAAATTAAGGAGAATACTAATTCCTTGTCATTCTTTTGAGACATCAGTTAGTAATCATAAAATGCAAATATTTATTAGATTGTGGGAATGGATTCTTCCTTAAGGGTTTTTTTATTTACAATGGAAGCAACAAAGCACTCCTTGGTAAATTGTTCCACAGTTTTGAATAAATTTGCATTTTCTCATGATATGGATCCATTCTTCAAGATGATCTTTATTATAAGAAAATATATTTTGATACAGGTATAGGTGTTAGGCATATTTTAATTTTTTTAAATATACTAGGGCTGGGCCTAAAATTTTTAAAGATACCCAGGTCGGGTTGTATATTTTAAGTAGCCATTATTATCTATAAAAATTGAAAATAAATATAATATATCTTAAAACCCAGACTGGGCCATGCCAAAATTTTTTTTAAAAAAAATCATGGCAGGCTATGCAAATGGTACATACAGGTCTCTGATATATTTATTACCTTCATTATAAATATATAATAAGAACATATGAATTTTCATTTAATTAATTTCATAAAATCTGTAAAAATTATATTTATGTGCTCAATAAAAAATTATTTCTACAAGAATTTTTATCATTTGCAATTTAAAACCTAAAAATTTATTCTTAGTAGATGATGGTTTTATCTAATTCTAACCTGCCTATTCTGTGGATAGACTGAAAGATATTGGGTTGGTGAGTGGTAGGGTTAAAAAAAATTTTTAAATGGGTAGGTGAATTTGAAATATATTTCAGTCAAAATAAGCAACTGACTTCTATTTATTAGATATTATTTTTTTATTTCATAATTTATAAGTCTAAGTAAAAAACATTAAAATAATACATTAAGAGCCAAATCCAATATAATAATTTTTTTTAAACATTGGATAGGCAATTTAAACAAAATTTTTAAATAAATGAGCAGGCAGGTGCACCAAAACTTTACCAATGCAGACTGGAAACAGTAGATCATAATGGATTTTACCTCTGCCAAAAAATCCTTTATAAATGATATGTATCGACCACTTTTATTTTCCCATGCATTTAACACCAGAGGTCTGCAAATAACATTTTCAGGCACAATTAGTTAATGCCCATCCCAAAAGATGGAACCACCAAGTTGGATTAAGAAAAAAAAATGATCTTTGTTGGGATTTGAATTCAAAGCCATCAGATTTGTAACTCTTGCCGATTAGGCCACAGATGCCTTTCAAAATTTACGATTTTTTAAAAATATATTAAAAAATTGTGACTGTGAGTGTGACATTACTTTTATATATATTCTAGATCTGATAAAAATTTTACAAATTGTAGAAGTAAAATTTTACATAAAATATAAATGATTCCACAAGATTTTCACAAAAAAATGTTTAAATATTGAGGAAAAAAAATATTCTTGAACCCTCAAATTTATAGATGGGTTTGGCTCATCAGTGAAATCTTGGGGGGTTTAAGTTCTCAGCCCTGGTCTAGATATTTAAAATTTTATGGCATCAGGTCTTTAGTTTTTAATAAAGGTTATCACTTGATGTAAAATATTTTATATAAATAATTAAATTAATACTTTTTCATCATTTGAAAGTTTTGCAAAAAGGGGATGTTCGTTAAAATGTTTTGAAATCCATTCATGCATATCAAAAACATCAGTTATAGAATAAACCAGGCCCTAATAAATTATTAAGCAACATTATCTAAAGCATAATATATACATCTTCGTGGAGAATATATGCAATTTCAGCAATCATTGTTTCACTAACAAATCTCCATTTGTGCTTTGATTTTTTAAAATGAGGATCTGGAAAAAGTATAAATAACTTTTTAACCTATAATATATATTATTATATGTTAATTTATATTATTATACCTGCTTTTTATCAAAAAAATTAGGTAAATATTTCATGGCATTAGTTCTAATACAGGCAATATTTCCATAAGCATGACTTATTTCATTATATTCTCTCAAACTCTTAATAGTATCAATAACAAAATCAGAAACCTTTGTTCTTATTTCTAATCCCAACATTAAGACATTAGGAAAGATAGGAGATAAATGTGCTATAACAATAATAAATTAACAATCAACAGGATATAATATACTTAAGAGTCCTCCATAGCCACAACCTATATCAACAAATTCTATTTTTTTATCTAAATTACTTTCAGCGTAAAGCGCGCCTAAATTTAGTGATTGTGGCCTAATTGGACTAAAAATATTATGGATATTATAAATCATTAGGGTTTACGAACTGATATAAAGAACGATATGAAATAGGATTCGAATGAGCTCTTTGTCTGTAATTGCGTTTTTGTGGATTCGTATGTGACATAAGGTAATATTAACAGATAATAATATATTGAAGATTGGCATAAGGCACCACATGTCAAACCTGACATAATGAAAAGTTATGTGACATTGTTTGGTGTCAATTTTATGACATATTTGAAATCTAAAACAGATGATTTCAAATTCCAATTTAATCTCCAACATCGTTTTAAGAATGGTAAATATTATACATACACTTAAATTAGAATTTATTAGCCCAAATTAGTATAACGACTGAGTCGAAAACTGAGTCTAAGAATCGACCCAAGCTGACTTGAGTTATGAACTCGAGTCGTGAACTCAAATCGACTCAAGTCGTGAACTCAAATAGACTAAAGTCGACTCAAGTCGTGATTTCAAATTAGTTTTTATTATTAATTAACAATACAATTATTTTTTTTAATTTAGACTTCCAACTTGAGTAAGTCGTGAATAGAAATTACAAGCATTAATTATTATTTATTTATTTTTAGTAAAATAATTTATTTTATTTATATTTAAATATTTATTATATTTTAAAGAAATGATATAATTTAATATTTTTTATTTTATAATATATTATGAAAATAAATATTTATTTGATATCTTTTAATAAAAAAATGATAAGCTGCAATGTAAGTTAAGTAATATCATTTTTGTTACAATTAATTAATGATTTTCACGCCCAAATTTTAAGCAAAATTTGATTTGAATTTTAAATGATTTTTTCTATAAACTTTTTTTATTAATTCTTTTATAAATTTTATTTAAATAAACAATTTTTTAGTTGAAATCTTTTATTTATATAGGTTTATTTTTATAATTTTTGTAAAATTATCTATTTTTTTAGTATATAAGAACTAGTTTAAATAATTTATTTTTAAATATTTATATTAAACTTCTATAAGTTATTTTACATGATCGTCTTTGTGATAATTGTCATGTTATTTTTTAACATTTATGAAATCTAGACAGAAAAGGATAAAAATATAATTTATATTATAAAGATGTTAAATTATAAATTCAATGATGTTCCTTTATAAAAATGACAATTATCATAATCTGTATTTTTAAATATATTAGTTTATTTTTGACTCTAATGGGTAAAAACATAAATTGAAAATATCTTAAATTAAAATTTCAGTGAAGATGTACCCTAGATAAGTGACAATTGTCATAATCGTTATTACTAAAGTTTTTTAATTTTTTTGACGCAAATAGGTAAAAATATAGGTTGTAAATATGTTAAATTAAAATTTCAGTGATAGATTAAGTGACAATTGTCAAAATCGTTATTTCTACAGTTTTTTGAAATTTTTTTGACGCTCATAGGTAAAAATATAGATTGTAAATACGTTTAATTAAAAATTCGATGAAGATGTATCATAGATAAGTGACAATTGTCATAATCGTTATTTCTAAAGTTTTTTGAAATTTTTAGACACATATAGGTAAAAATTTATATTGTAAATATGTTTAATTAAAAATTCGATGAAGATGTACCATAGATAAGTGACAATTGTCATAATCGTTATTCCTAATGTTTTTTGACGTAATAGATATGTGACAATTGTCATAATCGTTATTTTTTAATTTTTTGAATTTTTTTAAAGTAAATAGGTAAAAATATATATTGTAAAGATGTTAAAATAAATTCAGTGAAGATGTACAATAGAAGAGTGACAATAAGTGATCTGCATCGGGCCTAATTTTTCAAGCCCGGCCCGAACCCGAAATTTTTTTTAAAAAAATTTACCGACCCAACCCGGCCAGAATTTATTTAAATATAGAAATTAATCTTTATAATTACTCAAAATAAAAGACGTATGTTATATGTAGTTTAGTTTCAATAAATAAAAATCAAATATTTTTATTGACAAAATATTCAATATAAAATTGATAAATTTAGATATATTTAGATATATTTAAAAAAATATCCTAGGCCCAGCCCGGCCCGAACCCGATTATTTTAAATAGAATTAGGCCCGAGACTCGGGCCGTGCCTAACTTTGCAGATCTCTAGTGACAATTGTCATAAACGTTATTTTTAACTTTTTTTGAAGCAAATGGGTAAAAATATATATTGAAAACATGTTAAATTAAAATTTTTGTCATGATCGTTATTTTTGAACTTTTTTGAAGCAAATGGGTAAAAATCTATATTGTAAACATGTTAAATTAAATTTTCAGTGAAGATATACCATAGTAAGTAGAGTTGTTAAAAGATACTTTTTAAATGGATCTAGATACAGATACATCGTCTAAAATAATATCTAGATACCGATATTTTAATTAAAAATCTATCTAGATACAGATACCACATTTTTATATCTAGATACAGGATCTAGATAAGTATCTAGATCCTTTAACAACTCTGATAGTAAGTGACAATTGTCATAATCGTTATTTTTGAACTTTTTTGAATATTTTTAAAGTAAAAGGGTAAAAATATATATTGTAAAAATGTTAAATTAAAATTTCAGTGAAGATGTACCATAGAAAAGTGAGAATTGTTATAATCGTTATTTAGAACTTTTTTGAATTTTTTCAAAGAAAATAAGTAAAAATATATATTATAATCATGTTATATTAAAATTTCAGTGAAGATGACCATAAAAAAGTGTCAATTGTCATAATCATTATTTGTGAACCTTTTTGAAAATTTTTAAAGCAAACTTGTAAATATATATATTGTAAACATGTTAAATTAAAATTTCAGTTAATCGTTATTTAAAATATTTTTGAATTTTTTTGCCGAAATGATCTGGTTTTTAGCCCACGCCCTTCTATCAAATTGGGCTGGCTAGCTTAATAATTTAAAAAGTGCTAACGGACCTTTGAAAAATTTTAACAATGGGTAGGCTAATAAACAACTTTTATTTGTTATTTAAAATTTATTAGGTAAGCATTAAAAAATATATTCTTCATAACTTTTTTTTAAATACCAGATTATCGATAACTGTTGTGGATGTTATCGTCGGAAAAATTAATGAGATAAAAAAAACTTGTTGGATTTGATTTGAAATTATAGGGTAGAAGTATTTCGTCCTATAATTGATCAAATTATAAACATCAGAACGGTTTTCTGCAAAAAGAGAGTTTATTTTGAATGTGCAATATTATCCTAGGCATTTTGATAAAAATAATAGTAAATGTATTTCTGAAAAGGCCTTGGAAATAGTGACACAACAAATATATTGAATGTTAAATAACGTAACGAATTGTGTTCATTTGCCTGTGAAATCAAAGATTTAATAGCAGAATTAAATGAAACGGACGATGATATCGTATGAGCAGGTAAGGAGTCTAATGAAAAAGTAGAATAAGATAATAACTCAGAATGTGAATTGTGATAATAATGTAACAATTGTTTAATATGCCTGTATGAAATTCTTAAAAGATACAATATGCAAACAAGTGCATACACAAATTTATTTTTCGCATATGAATACATTTCTTTATCATTTACTCAAGTTAATTGCGAGAGAACATTTAGTAAATTATAAAAAATAGGCTGAGAAATAATATAGACGAAGAAAAATTAGGATCGTTTCTAATGTTAGTTGTATGAGCAGTGGCGTAGGCATGGGGGGGGGGGGGGTTTAAGGGTTCAACCCCCCCTCCCCCATGAAAAATGAAAATTTTTTTTTATTTTTTTAAAATTTTTGAATATTAATTTAATAAATTCTTAATAAACGCTTGATTTTTATGTTTTAAATCTATTATAAATAATAATATATATACACATTTGATTATTTTTATATATTTTTTTGGTTTGCAGCTATTTATGCCGAAAATCGTTTGCAGGCTATTATTAATCTACAGTTTTTAATTTCAATTCAATGTGTTTATTTTTTATTTAATTATACATATGATTTTAGCAAAATGCTACAAAAAATTGATTTGGATTTAAGGGAGATTATGAATAGAGCAAAGGATATTGTTGAAATATTAACAAATATCAGAGAGAATGTGGAGAAAAATTTCATGAAATATATGGAAAAGTAAAGGAGATTGCTAATATGTTTGGAATTTAAATTTTTAGACCTAGAGTAGATTCTAGACAATCCAATCGATCAAATATTGATGCATCTACGATTGAGGATTTTTATAAAATAAACATTTTTATTCCCCTTATTGATACATTTTTATTTCAATTAAAAGAAAGATTTATTAGTCATAATTATATTTTAAAAAGCTTTTATTTTCTTTTGCCGGTAGAGTCTAAACTATTGATTACACTTGAAACACGAAAGGATATTAAAAAAATCTTAGAGTTTTATGCTGATGATTTAGTAGGTTCATATGATAAGTTACTTTGTGATGTCGAATTTGGGTGTAAAAATCTTGACAGAATAGGGTATTCTTTGAGACCAAAAAATGCTCTGCAGGCCCTTTCCATGTGTAATTTCATTTTAGATTCCCTGCCTAATATCAAAACATTATTAATTATTTTAGCTATCTTGCCAATTAGTACCTGCACTGATGATAGGTTTTTTTCAACTTTAAAATGGTTAAAAACCTATTTAAGAAACACAACCGGTGAAAAACGTTTAAATGGATTAGCCCTATTGAATATTTATAAGGAGATTATTTTAGATAAAAATTTGATTTTAGATGAATTAGCAAAATCTCAGAGAAAAGTAGATCTCTCTTTTTAAATTCAAATCAAAAAATAGCAATAAAATTTTATTAGTTTTAATATATAATCAATTTTTTTTTGTAAAAAAAGTATTATTTATAAGATAATATCATCATATTTTTTTAAATACCATTATTTGCATAAGAATTACACATATTTTATATAATTGTAATTACTTTTTTTAAAATAGAGTCCTTATACATTATAATTTTTAATATTAAAATCTGTATTATATAAAATATCAACATTTTGAAAATATTTTAATTAATAAAAATATATACATGATTAAATAAAGGAATGTAAAATATATAATAAAATACCCTAAAATTTTGTTATATGAAAATATAAAACAATTTTAACAAATCCAAAAATATAAGCAATTATGTGTTCAAAAAAATGGAAGGTTTGTTGGGGGGTGAAGCCCCCCCCCAAAAAAAA